AAAAAAAAAAAAAAAAAAAAAAAAAAAAAGGGCGGGAGGGCCATGTTGCCCTGCTGCAAGCAGCAGCCGGAAAGGGGTCTCATTGCACAAACTGAGTACAACATGAGCATCCAAACAATTAAGTACAGAGATGAATAAAAACCAATGAGGGATTCACGAATATGTACGAATAATAGGGGCAAAAGGAAGGCTCTTAAAATAACATGTCCAGCGCCAAATAGTAAAGGTGGAGAGTGCGGGATTTAGGAAAATCATTCTGTAGCCATCATGGTATGCATTCGATCAGGAATCATTAATGGATACTGTATCTAGAGGGGTATCTTGGTGAGGAGCAGGATATTTGCCGGGCCTTAAAAACTGTCTCCTCACAAAACCGTTAGACAGTAGAGACAATGTGCAGCATCTTGAACAAGTGGCTGAATTGAACATCACCAATGAGGGGACGGTGTGCCTCCAGAGAGGATCTTCGGAGGACGCAGCATCGTGTATCCAGAGTTCCATATTGGATATAAATTATGCCTCAATATACTTTATTTGAAAATGTACAAAGGGTAAAAGTCCATGGTTTGAAAAAGCTCTGTATTAAAGACAAAAGGAATAGCTTCTTGAGCTGTCTTGAGGGACTGCTGTGTCATGGAAAAAAAGCACACTACCTAGTAAGGTTGGTTTACTCCAGCCAGAATGGACAGAAGCCACAGATTTAAAAAAAAAAAAAAAAAAAAAATCAGTCCCCCATTCTGAAGCACATTATGGTACCAAAAAATGAAGCATTTTTACATTAACATCTATTTTGTAGTGAACACAATATTCACATAAAGGGCTAAAACATAAAAACTCAAATCTTGCCTCCAAGGACCCCTTCATATCATCCCAGAGCCTCAGAACACCACCTACTGTCCTCAAGTTTCTCTCAGTGGATGGGAAGAAGTTTGTGTGTCTCCTACACGAGCCCACACGTGGACGGCCATCAGCACCCTAACCTCCCCATTTCTTAAGGGCCTACTCAGATGAGCCCTCCAGAGGATTCCCCTTCATGCACTGCCTGTACCACCTTTTATTCTCCAGTAAGCACTTATGACCATCCTCCTCATAACAGTTACTTTTTATGAACAAACACCTCCAATTTAGCACTTCACTTACAAATGATCGGATACTGAGCAGTGCCTGGCACTTGGGAGAATGTCGGACTGAAGCAAGTGAAGAGTAAAGGAACATGGGCATACTTAACCATTTCACTCCTTTTCCTCTTCAGAGCCAGAAAATTGTCACTTTCTATGAAGAAAACCACCCTATGCTTTTTTTTTTTTTTTTTTAAGATCTTATTTATGTGACAGAGAAACAACGAGAGAGGGAATACAAGCAGGGGGAGAGGGAGAAGCAGACGCCCTGTTGAGCAGGGAGCCTGATGCAGGGCTCGATCCCAGGACCCTGGGATCATGACCTGAGCCGAAGGCAGACGTTTAACGACTGAGCCACCCAGGTGCCCTGCTAGGCTACTTTCTCTAATAGACTTCCAGCCTAGAACATAGTTAGTCTCCAGATGAGCTTTTGTTATAACCAATGCAATAAGATTTTAGGGGACTCAGATTTTCACCTATTTTGGTGTAAGTAGGGAGACTGAAATTAGCTTACAGCTCAGAAAATATGGGAAACTGAAAGCAAAACATTACTGTTAGAGCACTACCAGGACATTTTAGACAAACTACTAGGCAATCTGCAACTGATCAACTAAAATAAAAAGTAACACCTTATTGGTGGCTAAAAATGCCCAAAAATGGAGTGAAGATAGCGGACACTTATCACTACCCGACACACCAAGAGAAGCTAGTCCGTGGCAAAAAAAAAAAAAAAAAAAAAAAAAAAAAAAGACAGCTAGGGTTTGAACCCAGGCAGTCTGGCCTCAGAGCTTACATTTTTAATCCCTATGCCAGCAAAGTTAAATACAATTCCCCAGTGTACATTCCTTCCAGACAGTTCCGACATGAGATCTGCATCCAAAATTAAGCCAGCAGGTTCTGGAAACACTTGATCTATTAACACTTCATTCACTAAGCCTCATTTAATATTAAAAATAAAAGATCCCATTTCTCCCCCCACCCCATTTAATTGCTTTTGTCCACTTTCTACCTGCACTGAAGAGTACTCATCAGGGTTCTTTGCAGAACTACTTTCGGTCCTACTTTTATCTGAGGAACCGATAAGGAATGTCTTTCTACTGAATTCAATCATCTTCTCTATTCCCATCTCCTTTAGCTGAAAGCATCACATTGACCTCTTGCAATTACTAACCCAAACCAGATAGCAGCTTTTATCCTTCCCTGTGGACACTGACCTATGCTTTTATTAAGTGTAAACAGGATACTGCTCTACCGAATGCACTTCAGAAACCTCCTCAAATCATTTTGTTGCCAAAGCATGCTTCCTTGTGAAAGGGTTGGTGGCTTTTCGGGTCATTCCACACTCCACACAGGATGCTCAACTCCCATTCACAAAGTGGGGTTTTCACCTGAGGCATCTGAGCAGTGGATTATTTAATTCACCCATTGTAGAGACTCGGGTGAATTCCGCACTCAAACTGAACAACGTGGGACAAAACAGGATACACTGCGTCCTGATTCCTTTATCTTTGAAGTCACTGCCTCCCGCTTTATCTTGGGGAGAAATGGAAGTGTGCCCTGCTCTGAGAGAAAGAAACCCACAGTTCTTAAGTCTTTCCTTGGGGTTCCTGACAGATGTATGTGGCTTGGCAACTGTTTCTAGTGGTTTTTAATTAACTAGCACGGAGCCAGTATGCTAGTCACAGCTGGGCACAATGAAAATGGGGATCTTGGGAGACGAGGCGGTGCCTGGAGGATGCAGGAAGAGGGTTGGGGCAAAGGCCTGGGGGAGGCAAAGAGATACTCTAGTCACCAGTATTAAGCCTGACCTCCAGGGCTAACAACTTATATTTCTCCCCTACTTAGAGTGTAAATGCAAGCATCTTACTCCAAAACAACAGGTGTGTTCACCAGCGTGGGAGGGCTCAGTGTACAACCGGCATTTGTCAAGTTCCTGGTGTATTCCAGACACCGTACTTCATACACAGGCACAAATCATCATACTTCACCATGAAAGAAGGGACAGACTTCCCTCGAAAAGACAAAAGTATGCCACCAAAGCCAGGCCCGCCCCTATCATTTGTGGGGCCTGGGGCAAGAGGACAAATGGAGGCCCACCGTAATTACTTGAAGGAGGTCATCAAGCCAGCCAAGTGTCACATAATCCTCCTCCCTTGACCAATGTAGCTTTCTAACAACCTGGAAGGCCAGGTACAATTTGGAGTTCTCAGACCCCTGGGGGCGGGGGGAGGTTCTGGGCCCGACACAGGTTGTTTCAACAACCCTGCTTGATGGACACAATCTCTTCCCTCCCCCACCCAGACTCCCGCTCTCCCCAGGAAGGCCTCAGGGGCACACCTGTAGACCTTCAGCCCGCATTTCCAAGCTCTTCCAACAGCCAAGCACAGCTGCCCTTCGGCCACTCCTCAGAGAGGAGGTCTGCTCCCCTCCCCACTCGCAGAGGCCGTGGAAGCAGGCTTAGGGGCCTTCCGGCAGGGAATCCCATGGGAGTCTGGGGGTGGGGGTGGGGGTGGGACAGCGTGTATTCTGGGTGGGCAGCCCACCCCACCTGCAGACACCTAGCCCAGTGGTGAGGAGCACAGCCTGGTGAAGGCCAGAAACCCCCACGTACACCTTCTAAACCCTGGGGAAATGAACGCAAAAGGGCTCCTTTGCCCAGGCCTGAAGCCAATACTGACTAAAAGCTTTCTCCATTTTATCCTAACTAGATCAACTTTTCTTTCCTTGAAGCTTTCTGGGAGGGTGACTCCTTATATTCAAGATTAATAAACTGGTATAAGAGGATTCTTGTCTGGAAGGGATCAAAGAGTTGAAACGCTTCCGACTATCTGGGAAGATCTAACAGCTAATATCCTGGTCTGGACGGAAAGGTAAATATCCCTCAAACAGCAAATGGATTGAACAGGCTTCTAGAAAGTCAGGAAAGGTGGGATCCTTGCCCTAGGGCATAAGTTGGGGAAACTTACCATTTTCGGTTTTGCAAAATTAAAAGCCACATGAGTAGCTAGTCAACGCAGCTGGGGCAGCCAAGTCCGAGCACTAGGAAGGAGCACACGCTGAGCGGAGCGAAGTAGGGGAGGTTTGGGCCTGCTCCAAACACAAAGGCCTGGCCAAAGGGGGTCACCAAAGGGAGGCGATTGGGGTCACAGTGGGGTGAGGGGCTAGGGCTTGGACGTCAGCCCTAGTACTGACCAGGTATCTGCTTTGTCTTTTCTCAAAGCAAGTTCACCCATTTTCTGGACCTCCCTTTTTAATTCTCCAAGATGAGGAGGCTACTACCTTTCTACGTTATGGCCCAGCGATGCCGTCACAACCGAGCCCAGTCCACACTCGGCTGAGTAACCGTACTTCTTTAAAACTAGGAGCACGGCGGCCAGAACTAGAGCTGCACCCAGAGATGTTCATCAGGCAGCTCCCCACCACCTACCCCAACATCCAAGGCGGGGCTCTGAAGAAGCTAGGGGCAGAAGGATGGGGTGAGGGAGGTTTTAGGGAGAGGGGGCAAACAAAGACATTGATCCAATGCTACATCTCAGCCTGTTTTTGGGTGGGGAAGGCGTGCCTTCCGGCAGTCACCCAACTGGAGGGTGCAGAGGACAGGTGCGTAAGGCCCCCAAGCTGCCGGCCTCCGAGCCCCCCCCTCCCCGAAAGGAAGGAGCCGCGCTACACCCCGCGGGCTCCAGGCCTGGAGAGGATCAGAGCGAGGAAAGCGGCGGGGGGCGCGGAAAACGCCGGACGGGCCGCGTTCGTGGAGGCGCAGGTACTCACCCAGCAGCAGCAGTTTGAACTCGCGGCGCGCGTCCTTCTTGTCCCGCCGAAGCTGCCGCTCGATCTCGGCGCTGATGCGCTGCGACTCCTTCTCCTCCGCCGACAAGCAGCAGCAGCCGGCCATGGTGCTCGCTGCACCCGACGGCGCGACGCGGTCCCGGGCCCTCCGCCGATCTGCCACAGGCACCCGCGTTCGGAAAGAAAAAGACAAGGCCGCCTTGACTTTTGGAGTAAGAAACCTGGCCGCCTGAGGCTCAGTCCCGTCCTCGAAGATGGATTCGAAGGCGGGGGCGAATTCAGAGCCCTAGGAAGAGTCCAGTGCCCTGCAGATCCTCCGGCTCATCAGTCCCACAGTCGGTCCTGGGGAGGAGGAGGGCCAGCCGAGAGGATGGGAGCGCTGCCGGCACCCGGAAGATGCGCACGCCCCTTAGCAGAGGAGCCAGACACCCAGTCGCTGGGCTCAGACCGCGCGCAAAAAGTTGGGGGCGTCGGTGCCCGGGCGGGGGGCGGGGAAAGAGCGGGATCTCCCGGTCCTGGTGGTGTCCCAGGCAGGCGGCAGGCACGGCGTTGGTTGGAGGCAGAGGGCCTAGCTTGTCCTTGCCTGGGAAGTTCCGAAAGTGACCGCAGATTAAGACAGAGCGTAAGGGTTCCAGCTGGCGCTAATGGCTCTAAGTGGCAGAAGGAGGCGGAGCGTCTCGGACCTGTAACCCTGGCGTCTGCCCCGGTTGGCCTTCGGGGCGCGCCAAACTGAGGGTGCCTGGGAACAAAAGGGACCAGCAAGGAGCTGGGGCGCGGATCCCGGGGGCCTGGAGCTCCTGGGAGCAGCGCCCCCCCCCCGCCCCCACGTGCCTTCCTGGCTGTGAAGTCCTTGCACCCGAAGGGCCGCCTGCCGAGGTGGCGGTGACCAGCGCGCTCTGGTCGCCGGGCCCTGCTTCCTGCCCAAATAGGGTTCAGACAGGTGAGTGAGTTTCGCCAGCTTCAGCTTCAAGGACTCCCAGCTGCAGGAAGAGTGCAACGGAGCCCAGCGTCCGCCGCGGGACGCCTAGCACCAGGGGCAACGTGGAGCTCTCCACCCCCACCGAAGTTGAAGGCTTGCACACCAGCCACACGAACACACACCCTGGGTTTTCTGGACGGGCTCCTTCCGCTTCCCGGGCGCCTCAGCCCAGCCCAGCCCAGCTCAGGTTCGGCCTAAGAGCTTGGCCAGCTGGGCAGCCTGCCTGCAAGGTGCGGCTGGACCTGACCCCGCGGGCAGATGCCACGGGGTTCCATTAAATAGGTGAACGCCAGAGCGGAGAGTGCATATCCTCCCGGCCCCTTCCTCCGGCACCTGGTGAGGAAGGCTGGGGATGGCGGAAATGGAAAACGGCTGGCTACTTTGCATTTTATGAGGGGAAAGACGACTGCTCTGTAGAAAAGGCTGACACGTTTGCCCAGCACCTGACGGCCGCTGCCTTGCGGAGGTGTGTCCGCACCGCTGCCTTGACCCCGCCCCTGGAACGTCGGGGGCCTGTTTGAGCTGCGTAATAAAAACTTAAAAAATTAAAAAGCACCTCTTTATGCTCAAATGCTACCATAGAATACATATTACAACATCTGATTTTTCTCTTGAGTGGAGATGGGTTTTGAATCAGAGCGCCGAGGGCCCACGGGAAAAGCAGAAAGAGGAAGGTGGAGGCAGAGGATCCCGTCGTCCACAGCAATGAATGTTTTTGCCTTCTCTTCAAGTTACTGTGTGCCGCGTAGACACTTCATGGCGTTAGGCAATTAGCTAATGCCTCCTCTCTTACGAGCAGGCGTTAAGTGCCTTTCATAGGAGTGGCATATATTTCATCAGTTCAAACTGAGGAGCATGAGTGGAAAGAGTGGTATTTGTCATTATATAAGAAACTTGGCATTGTGATGGTCTCCAGCTTCAAGGTCTTATTAGTTATTTTACTGTTTAGAGAATGGGAACGAATCAGGCATTAAAAATGAATGTGCTTACATTCTTAAATGCTCTCTTCTTAACTCGCAGGCAGAAATTAACAGTAATAGTGACCCCTACAGGGAACTTTCTGGACATTTCTCATCTGATCCGTGGCCATGTAATCACAGTTTTCTTCCTTGGCTCTTATAGATAAATTTACAATTTGAGAATAAGACCTTTTAAGAAGCCAAGAGCATCATCATTATTAATATATTTAAATGATGAAATGATTTAAATGATGTAAATGGGCAAATTTGAACTCCAAGTTAGCTGGAATGACTGACCTGTTAGGTCCAATGTTGCTAGGATTCCAAAAAAGATGTGAAACCTGTTGTTTCTGGCAAATCTGAAAAAAGTTCCTGGGCTGGTCAGCTTGGCAGTATGTATCAGAAGTGTTAAATATGTCCACCCCCTTTGCCCAAACTAGTAATTCTCCCCTTGAGAAATAATCAGAGAGAAGTCATGATTTACATACAAAGGTTTATTTCTAATAACGACAGTAACCCCATACAACCTAAATGCCCAACAAAAGGAAATAGGTCAAATAAATGATGATATATATATATATATACACATACATACAATGAGATATAAGTCATTAAATATTTGAATATGTAACATATGAATACCAACTAAAGATTTGGAGGGAAACCTTATCATATATTGAGTGAAAAAGGCAAGATACAAAAATATAAACAGTATGATACAAATCTGATTATGGGAATACGCATACACACCTTCAGGAGATTAAAGGGGCATCTACCAACAAGGTAAGTCGCTCCAGGTCATGGCTTTTTGGTTGATTAATTCCCTGGTATAAAATTGTTTGGGGGCAGCTCATATAAAGTTATCTAGCCACCCCCCTTTCCTCAACTGTAAAATGAGAGGGATGTACCAGAATAAGCTCAAAGGGATCTCCCAACTCTGACATTCAATTATTTCTTTGGTGATTTTCACACTTAGAAGATAGTATTAAAAATAATAATAAACCGAAATTTGTTATTGAGCAGTAGTAACTAGTAAGAACTATAAAATGAGGATATGACAAGGCAATTATTTTTATTTTTATGCCTATTTTTTATTAACATTTCTATTTTCTTGATCTTTAGGATCTGGGGGCTGGATGAGAATAATTTTAAGTTATTAAATCATTGGCAGCATCTTTCCAGGAAAGGGGTAGTTTGGGAAAGAGGCCTTAGTAAAAGAGGGTATTTGTTTTCCTGGGTTATTCCCAAAGGACAGCAATTCCATTCCATCCCTATTGAAGATCAGAGCATAGCGTGGACTTGAGTTTTAGCTACCTGGCAAGTGCTGGGAACATAGATGAACTACGTGTCTGGGACTCGTCCATTGAGTCCACACCAGACTCTGGACCTGGGCCATTCCAGGTACAATTCCAGACTTCAGATAGGCTAGAAGTCTAGCAGAAAGGAGTTAAGACTGAGACCCTAAAATCTGAACCCATCCCTCCTTGCTCCCTCCCAGAGAGAGGACAGTGAGAGCATGGAGTCACCGGGGTGGCTCTCTGCAGCCTACAGATGTGCAGAATGGGCCCCTCAGCTAACCTGCTTCAGGTGAGCCTCATTCAGCGTCCATCACTCTCCCGGAACTCCAGGCAAATGTAACCACGTGTTCTCCCCACCTCCCTAGTCTTAACGCATGCAGTTTCCTCTGTTTGGTTCTTTCTCTCCCGCACGCATCTCCCCGGAGAAACCAGCTCCACCCCTTGTCAGGTGGACCCTTCTTTCTCTCCTGCCTGAGAAACCTTCTATGTTCCTCTCTCCAACTTTTCGCTCTGTTACACCTGTTCGAGTTTTCTCCTAATTAGTTACTCTGTAGGTAGAGAGGTTTTTTTGTTCATCCTCGTATTTCTAAATTTGTAAGATTTAGTCAATTGAATAAAGTTGAAATTAGAAAGAATTTGCCTGATATAAGAAAAAGAAACTAGAAGAGAAAAGGAGGCTCCTGTACTCAAAGACAGTGGAAAACCAATAAGCAAGTCTGCAAGAATCCATGTGTCATTTAGGAAACACTTGTGTTTTAGTAAAGTGGCCCCAACTTGCCTACTTAGAGGGAATGACTGCGCTGTGTTTAATTCAGAACTCCAAGGAAATGTGTGAGTAGAAGGCTGGAAGGATGCTGTTCTCTTTGACAAATGTAGCGTCTTAGAATTTTAACAAGGAGGGCGCCTGGGTGGCTCAGTTGGTTAAGCGACTGCCTTCGGCTCAGGTCATGATCCTGGAGTCCCTGGATCGAGTCCCGCATCGGGCTCCCTGCTCGACAGGGAGTCTGCTTCTCCCTTGACCCTCCCCCCTCTCATGTGCTCTCTCTCTCGTTCTCTCTCTCTCTCTCAAATAAATAAATAAAATCTTTAAAAAAAAAAAAAGAATTTTAACAAGGAACCTAGAGTAAAAATATGACCTTGAAGTTCACAAAGCTAAAATAGCACTAATACTAACGCACCTATGCTGCTTGCTGCTCTTTGGGAGTTTTTCAAACTGTAATTGTGACCCATCCCTGGGTTATGACCGACATTTTTTTTAAAGACAAAGACTAGAATAGAAATAGAAAATATCAAAGTATGCTGCTGTGTGTTACTGTTGCACAAAACTTTTGTTTCAGTTTTATACACAAGTAGTAACTATTTTTAAAATATTTATTTGAGAGAGAGAGCAGAGGGAGGGGCAGAGGGAGAGGGACAGAATCTCGAGCAGACTCCACACTGAGTGTAGAGCCCAATGCGGGGCTCGTTCTCAGGACCCTGAGATCATGACCTGAGCCAGATTCTTAACCAACTGAGCTACCCACACGCCCCTACATGAGTATTAACTTTTTTTTTAAAGATTTTATTTATTTATTTGAGAGAGAGAGAGAGCACATGAGAGGGGGGAGGGTCAGAGGGCGAAGCAGACTCCCCGCTGAGCAGGGAGCCCCTCGCGGGACTCGATCCAGGGACTCCAGGATCATGACCTGAGCCGAAGGCAGCTGCTTAACCAACTGAGCCACCCAGGCGCCCATGAGTATTAACTCTTAAGCAGACCAGTTATCAGTAGGATTTGCTTGTCCATAACCCAGATGGGTGGGTCCAAATGATTCCCAATTTTCAAATTCATTTTTCAGAGTTCCTAATTTTTCATTCAATTTTCTGAGCCCAC